TCTTCTGCTCTAAGCACATTCCTTCAAGAGTTTAAGTTTCCTAGATCCAACTGGCACCACCCCAGAGAAATTATAAAGTTAATCCAATCTTTCATTTTGACTTTTTCTCAAAGGCCGATTTTTCAATCCCTTGGCCGAGCAGTACCTATCGGCTTTTCAGCGCTCACCATCAACTGATTGACCATTTAGGACAGAATTATTTCTAGGAGGTTCTTAATAATCTCCAAGCCACAACCCTTAAAGTGCCTCGGGCCACCGTGCACACAGAATCTCTTGTATGTAGCTTTATTTACTTAAATGGGTTTACATGAGGTTAATACTTCAACTATTTTGCAGTTTAGATGTCAGTAAGTATATCATGGTTAGCTTCTGGGAGCTTGAGGGTTTTTTTTCCTTTTTTGTTTTTTGTTTTGTTTTGTTTTGTTTTTGAGACAGGGTCTTGCTCTGTTGCCCAGGCTGGAGTGCAGTGGCGTGAGCAGGGCTCACCACAGCCTTGGCCTCCTGGGCTCAAGCAATCCTCCCAACTCAGCCTCCCTAGGGCTACAGCCCAGCTAATGTTTTGGCGCAGAGGGGGCAGCAGATCCAAAGTGCTGGGATTACAGGCGTGGGCCACCACGCCCAGCCTGAGTAATTTGTTTTAATCTCCTTTACTTTAATTTTATTTTGAGATGGAGTCTCGCTCTGTCGCCCCCAGGCTGGGGTGCAATGGGAGGCCAAGGTGGGCGGATCATGAGGTCAAGAGATAGAGAGCATCCTGGCCAACATGGTGAAACCATGTCTCTACTAAAAATACCAAATTTAACTGGGCGTGGTAGCTCGCGCCTGTAATCCCAGCTACAGGAGGCTGAGGCAGGAGAATTGCTTGAACCTGGGAGGCGGAGGTTGCAGTGAGCCAAGATCATGCCACTGCACTCCAGCCTGGGTGACAGAGCGAGACTCCATCTCAAAAACAAAACAAAAAAACCCGAGAGAGCATTTTGGAGGTTGCTGTTTAGTGAGAAATCAAGCAAGGGAATCCAGGCGGAGAAAACCAGATGGCACTAACATTCCAGGTCAAACCAAACCAGGAGGGGTGAGGCAGTGCCCTTGTGAATGCCTCCTGAGAGTTCCTCTGGTTCAAAGGAAGGTTAAAGGTGGAAAGATGAGGGTGGGGGTGCAGGAATCTCTCTAGTGGTAGAAGGGATATTTCCTACGGAGAAGTAAAAAGTACCTCCAGCCAGACAGAAGAATGGACTAAAAAGGAGTTTTTAATATTTTACTTTTATTGGAGGAAAACATCTCCTAACATCCGTGCACCCTGGTTTTCACCTGCAGGGACACTGAACGCCTAGTTTCTATTCAGTCCTGGGCTGCTTTTTCCAGGGAACTTCTAGATGTGGTACTGCATTTACAGTAACACTGTCTGCTCCCAGTTGATCTTGTAACATCTGGTGTATTCAATAACTTTATTAAATTAGAAAAATAATATTTTCCACTTTTGAAATCCAGACCATCACACAAATAGAACTAGATTTTGCATGCGGAATGAATATTTTATTACTAGGGTATAAAAATAAAATACAAAATAATTTTAAAACAGAACTTAAAACACTGTACAAAGCTTTAATATGATACAAATGGGAAAATTAAATAAATAATTACACTTTTCTGTACAGGTGGCCTATACAAAAGCACTCCAGGTTTCTGCCAATACTCTGTCCTTGGTTGCCTGAGCAAAATCGTATAAAGGGAGCTGCTTGGAAGGAAAGGAACACAATGAAACACCTCTGGAGGTATTTCAAAGAGTAGTTTCTCATCTCTCTGATTTCAGGAAGAGGAGAAGAGAGGGAGAGAAAAGTGGAATTATTAAAGTCATCTAACTCATTGGTCTTGTTCAACAAGAAAGAATTCTGGTTTGTGGCTGAATCTGATTTAACAGCTGCCAATAGCTCATTACTTCTAAGATGTATATCTAATTCAAAACTAGACGCTCCCCCCTCCCTCTTTTTTTCCTAAAAGCTGGGAACTTGTAAGTAAATGGCCTAGTGAAATAGACACTGGCTATTTTAGAAAAAGGGTCAGAAGGTGGACCAGGAACTATGTATCAGGGAGAAGTAAGCGAGGCACAAGCCCAGGTCATCTAGGCTGTGTTTATTCAGTCCACCCAATCCAATTTCAAAGCCCCAAGTGGGCCAGGGTTCCCTTTATCTTCCCACCTTTGTATTTCCGAAAGCTTTCTCACCTCAGTGGACTACTTTGTCTGATGAATAGTTCAAAGAGAACATTGTTTTGGAAAAAGTCCCAAGGGCTTTCCCCTTCCTGGGTAGCTCCCTACAATAAGTCAAATTCAAGTTCTGGTAGCCTTGTCTACCCCTCGTAGGCGAGTGAAGAATGCCCACAGAGTCCAGATGTGGTGAAATGCTGCGCATGGATTCCTCAGGATTTAAACTGCATATTATTAGAGAAAAAGAGCATTCTATGGCAAGGGTAGTCTATATAAAAACTTGGTTTACTCAATGTTTTTAATTAGGCGAGTGAACACTTATGTACATAATATTGAATAATATTAAACTAATAAAAAGAGAGGTAAAATTCCTATCCATTGTAATTGTAAAATTATGTCATCAGCAAATTCTATAGTCACATGGGCTCAAAGACCTGCCTCATCCACTCTTGTTCCCTAGGTCAAGGGACCCAGAGCCAGGGTACCTGGGAGGCATGGTCAGCATCGCCAGTGCACATACATTCTGTGCCCATACTACCACTAACGCTCCCAGCTGAAGAGGAGGCAGAAAACCGTTACGTTGCACAAGGCCATGAAAGGAAAGGCTCCACTACTTTTACATGTTACCTTAAGACCAAAGATCCAGCAAAGTCTAAGGCAATACGCTACTCATTACTGAGTTATGTTACTTTTTTGCTATTCAGTGTCTTGAGATTGTGTGGAAATTCAGGGTGACCTGATCTTGTCACATACTTTAATTTTCTGATCCAAATTTGCTGAAAGGGAATAATTAAACATTAAGCTTACATATTTTTTTAAGTAGGAGCAGACAATCACAACTGAATTAGAAGACGTCTTAATGAGCATAAACTTTATTTTTGTTTTTCTTTTTTTTTTTTTTTTTTTGAGACGGAGTCTTGCTCTGTCGCCCAGGCTGGAGTGCAGTGATGTGATCTTGGCTCACTGTAATCCTCCGCCTCCCGGGTTCAAGTGATTCTCCTGCCTCAGCCTCCTGAGTAGCTGGGACTATGGGCGCCCGCCACCACACCTGGCTAATTTTTTGTATTTTCAGTAGAGACGGGGTTTCACCCTGTTAGCCAGGATGGTCTCGATCTCCTCACCTCGTGATCTGCCCGCCTCAGCGTCCCAAAGTGCTGGGATTACAGGCGTTGAGCCACTGCGCCTGGCCTTGTTTTTCTTTTTAAAATTTCTGTGAGCTGCTCTAGAAAACTAAAGGGCCAAAACTTTACTGTCATAATTCCACGTTCAGTCAGGGATTTCTCAGAACTGCGGTGTGCAGCATCCAGACTCCCCTTTATGTGGCTGGGGATCCCTGTGCCGTGTCCTGGGCTTACCTAAGAACTACAGGAATTCCCCATGTGCCTCCTACAGTTTTTCTAGCAGTGTGGGTAATGGACTCTGAAGGTTCCTGAGACTTTGTTAAACTTCTCATAATTCCAGAGGGAAGGCCAAAATATTAAGAATACTCAATGACAGGCTAAGTTTCCATCTACTTCCTTATCTCAAGTCACACACCAGAGTTCCACTGGGTGAGGACAGGGAAGTGGAATGTCCCAACAGCCTCTTAGGGTTTTCATGCATTAATCCCCCCATATGGGCTGATGGTTGGAACTGCCTTTAGTTCTCTAAGTAAAGGTCTAAAAATGCACCTGTGGTTTCTGAACTTGGGTATATGCTGATACATAAGGACTACCATAGAAGTTACATGCCTTAATCCTGTAATACTTTCATGTGGTATCATTCTGCTAATATATTGTCTACAGAGCCAAACCCCAAGTTACACAGTGCAACAGTACTTGTCAACCACTCCATCTCCTCAGTGACACAGGTGCTAAAGTACCTCTCCCCTGAGGCAAAGTCCCCACACATCTGTGGTAAGTGCACATAAACAGAAATGGGCAGATTTTGAAAGTGAATGCAAACAACTTAATTCCAAAATACATAAACATGACAGAAGTCTAACATATGCCATGTTTTGATCAATATAAAGGAATATGTTTTTAATGTATAAAAAACTTTGATCTTCAAGACTAAATCTAGACTTATCTACAAATAAATAAATTTTCAAACAGCCAGGGGAAAATGCATTTTTTCCCTGAGTCTCACTAAATCGTTCTGAATTCTGCTTCTCCTATCACCAATTCCTAATGTCATGTTAGAATGTAGAATTGTCTGCTCTTGGGAAAAATAAAGCGTCTGTTTTTAATTCAAAGCTCTTGGGTATAGAAAAACTAATTACGGTTTTAGCTATCTGTGTCTGAGTTTGTAAAACATGCACCAATGTACACTTTCTCCTTGTAGACTGAATGCAACTATAGAAATATTAGCATAAAAAATATGTGGCCTGGAAGAAATCTCTGATGATGCTGAAGAACCTCAAGTTCCCATCATGGCTAGGAGTCAAGAGAAGGAGACGCTGCACACCTAAGTGCTGAATTAGCAGCCGAGGCTTTAGTGTTTGAAAGCAAATAATATAAAGTGAGTAATGACTACAGTGGGTGTCAATTACCATTTTGCTACTTATGTAGGACTCGATTAACTTGGCAACTTCTACAAAAAACATTCACGTCACAACATGCAACTTAGAAAACAGTTAATGTAACTGCGCCACTGTCAGCAAGGCCAGCTTGCATACCAGAGTTAAGAATGAGAGTACCTGTCTGCCTAGGGCTTAACATTCAAAGACATTTATAATCTGTGTTTTAAGGTTAAATTTTATATGACCCAGTTTTCCTTCTTTGTTCACTATCCACTAAAATTAAATGCCTCTATGCTGTGCAAGAAATCACAATGTATGATTTTACTATTTCAACCAATCCATAGACCCTGGGGATTTGGCAGCAGAATTCAGGAGAAATGCTACCTAAAGTGATTGAGCTGTTGCTAATTCTACCTTCTGTTCCACTCAAGTACTTCCAGGGACTAACAAGGGAAGGCGAGGGCAACCGTGACTGACTAGGTAACCGGCTATTCTATTGTGGCAGAAGAAACCAGGCAGTACTTGATTTTCAAAAGATAATTTTAACTGCTGCCCTATACTACTTTTAGCATAGTTTGGCTTGACCTTAATAGCCATGTCCCTCATCTTAGGTAGAATAACCAAATCAGTTTAAAATTACTTGATCTATGTCACTGAAACCTGAAATATGCCATCACTAAGAGAACCCCCAAATAAAAAATAAAGAACTAAAAAACACAACCAAACCGAATCAAACCAAAAACCTCATTCTCTGTATCATACTTTAAAACAAAAATAAAAATCCCTGCGTCACAGGTGCTTGCTCAGGGCTGCCAACTTCTATTTTTCGCCTGACAGACATCTAAAAGTACAAACTATGCTTGTAAAAACCAAAAAGTAAATGTCTACATAGGACGGTACTTATAAGCGGACCTACTGATACCACCTATGATATAATTATGTTTTCTTTTGAAAGTATCAGAGCAGAAACGTCTTTGGTTAATTCTTTCCTCTACATGCAAAATAACATATTCTTACACGATGAGACTGTTTCTCTCTGGATCTTGATGAGTTCATCAAGGCCATTTAGAAAAGGGGACAACACACTAGAAAAGCTGAGATAAAAATGGAAGGAACCAAGAAAGAGAGAAAACATTCAGTTGCCACGTTCCCATCGCTGTCAGTTCCAAACGCCGGCAGAGAAATGCCAGTAAGAAATAAAATCTCACACACATACCACAGTTGTAGCCTCATCAGCTTTTCCAATGATTACTACTAGCATATTTCTGACTAAAGGGGTCAGGATTTAAAGCTAGCTACTTTTAGCAACAGAAATATGATAATTTCTTCATTATTCCCCCAACCCCCTGCAAAAAAAATGAGATGAAAAGAGGAAAGTAGAATGGCAATTTTTAAGAAATGTTTCTAAAATCTGTCAGACTCATCATTATCATCCCAGTTTATCCACTGTAACTATAAGGAGAGAACTATGTGATTAACGTGACAAATCTTTGAACCAGTATTACAAGCATGTCCCCGTAAGTTTTTCCCTATTAAAATCTTTTTGAAATGAAAATTAAATTAAAGAACCTATCTTGGCTTGTTAAATACTGCCAACCCTTGCATTGTACACAGGGAAGGCAAGAAGACTCTGAGGTGTCACATGCCAAGAACATATTTTCAGAAAATGAAGATAGGCAAGGCCCAAGTATACATGAGGCACACAATAGAAAAGGAATTTCGCCATCTGTGATCTCGAAATTACAAATGGAGAATGACAAAGAATGAGTCTATATAAGGATATGTCTCTCTATATATTTATAAATATTTATATAATTTACCATGAAGACATGCAAGTAGTGTTACAGCAACTATTATACAATATAATACAGAAGGACTGGACTTCCAATATTACAGTTGCTTTAGATAAACAGCAAATATGTCTTATCTATTGCATTCCTCTGTAGTGTTTGAAACTGGAGAGAAATTAAGATTCCACACTATGCTACATTTCTTATAAGAGACGTTATATGCCTCAATGGTGTTCTGAGTTTGTTTTTTTAAAAAGCTCAACATAGACAAAGAACAAGAGAAGTTCAGTGCAGCTTCAGGGCAGCTTTGATGCAGCATTAGAAGATGTTCACTTGGGGAGGAAATGTATTTCTTTCTTTTTTTTTGTTTCCCAATTCAACTGTGTTAGGTTTGGCAGCAAACACAAGGTCAAACAGAAAGCACAGATGTTTGCTAGAAGGCAAATTTCAACAGCAAGCAGACCAATCTACCTGACCTTAATAAGGTCTTTACAACACAAAACACCTAGAGAGTATAAAAGAGCCCATTTTAAAAGTCTGGTAGACTTTTTGCCTGATTCCTATTAGAAGAGTGAGATTAGAACAAGTATCTTTCTCTTTACAGCTTCATGAATTGAGATTATATGAAAATCAGGCCAAGAAGCCCAAATATTGAACTAAAACACAGGAGAAGCAGGTAATAAAACATTAAAAAAGAAATATTTAGCCTAAATTTTTCCCCAGATATTAATTCCTTATTGGCTAAATGTAGAAAATACAAAGTTTGAGGATTCTAAGCCTCAGTAATATATCTAATTGATTTCTAAATCTCAAGTCACATTCCAAAGCATTGCTTCCCTTGTATCGTCCTGGAGGCTGATACCACAGATAGCTGGAGCCCAGAAGACTCAAGGAAGCAGCTCACTCTGGCCAGTTTCCTTCTCAAGTTTCTAAAGGAGGACACTTAACAGGGAGGAAGGGGCATCTTCTATCTTGAAGGCTATTACCCCACACTTACTTTCTCTCCCTAAACACTAAAGCCTGCAAAGTAGCTCTAGTTAGACTTTTCTTTCCTTTACCTAAGTTTCTTATTTTTCATAATAAAAACGTAGTAGGTTAAGACCTGTTACTCTAAAAAAAAACCAAAATCAGGGACCTGAAAAAAAGTAATTGGATTTGATAGTACAATTAGGACCATAAAATAAAAGCAGAGAGACTGAATCAGATGAGACATACTAAACTTTAAAAAAAACATCTGAACTCCAGGGAGGGTACTGGGAATGAGGCAAAGGAAAGGTGTTCATTCTCAATACACGAAATAAACACACAAGCCAAATATACATGAGTACTGGCTCCCTGGCAACAGACTTCTTACAAAATCTAATATCTGACCAATGACTCTCCAGGGGGGGAAAGTTTTGAATGAAAATATCAAACAAGAAGTTTCACTTTTGCTATATAATCTTTGAGTTGAGGCTTAAAAAAATTACGCAACCCCCCTAAAATTCCATTCTATCTCCTATCCTCAACTCTTTTGTTTCAAAGGCAGCTTAAAAAATGAGAGCTCATTTTAATGAGTTTCTCCCCCTTGGATTTTTGCTCTGTTTTTCCTTCTTGTACAAAGACATTGATTCCTAATCTGCTTGCTGCCTGCCTTAGGTAATTCCTTATCATGTATTTATGTCTTCTTATAAATAATTGATCATATTACTTTCTTTTGCAAGAGAAGATCAACACTGATTTTTTTAAGTAGACAGTACAGGGACACACATGCATCAGGTTTAGGAGGAAGATCTCACACCTTTCAAAGAGATGCCGCCTGGCTCCTATCTGCTGAGTTTACTGGCTGGCTTAGTCTTCCCTGGGGGGGTTTTAGTGCTGGCTGAGTGGTGGTGAAGGCTGCCGGATCCTTTCAGGCCATTCTTGCTGGGTTTGCAATGCTCCTGTTGGCAGGACCTCCTGGAGGAGGAAGATCCTGAGTGGCTGGGAGGTGACTTGCTTCTCCCCAGATGTGGGGATGAACTCCTCTGGTCATGGTGGGGCCGTCCAGCCCTAGATGGTGAGGAACTAGACGTGCGAGGCAAGGATGAGCTTCGAGGAGAGGCACTGGGACTCCTGCGAGGGACAACTGGACTCTTGGGTGGTGTTTTTGGATTGTGAGGAGATCCTGGACTCTTGGACTGAGTAGTGCTCCGGGGTTTCTGAGATCCATTTTGAAGAATTTGGGCCAGGCGGGAGAAAAGGTCTGAGTCGGAGTTACTACTCCCTAGGACTTTGTATCTGCGTAGCCTTAAAAGAACAGAGAAAATATATTTTTATTTTAATTCATTTCAAGTGTGCCTAAAAAGTCAGAATGTCCCAAAATCATAATGTGAATGTGTAGAAATCAGAAAATAGACTAACAGGATACAGGGTTACTCTACTATATACTAGTTGTATGACCCTGGAGAAATTCTTTAATCTTTCCCTGCTTTCAATGGGAATACTGTCTGTCTCATAGGGTCACTGAACAGACCAAGGGCAGTGACCCAAGTACTTAGACGAACATCTACCATGAAGAAGCCCTTAAATGATATTAGTTCCTTTCCTCCTACGCCATGTTTTACTCTGCTAATTTTCAGATGAATTTAATTAATTGTCTCTAGCATGTTAGCACATAAGACAGAGAGTAAACTATATTGTGTAAGGATGCTAGGACAGGAATCCTACAAACACAAAATCCCACAACGTAAGTGGTTTTTTTTTAATTTTTTTTTTTCTGCCAAGGCTCTGTCACCCCTAAGTCTTCAACATGAACTACACTAAGCAACAGGAGGAACTATAGATAAATGTACATTCCACTCATTTAATAATTTCCAAGAGAAAAGAGTAGTCATTGGCTTCTGTGGAGCTCAGTTTGTACTCCTGTTAATAGCCTGGGATTAAGGAGGGTGGATGCTGGAACTGACTGCCCCCCACCCCCTCACACTGGCAACTGAGCTTGGGCCTCAAGCTGTACCTGTAGTGCACCTGTAGTGCACACCTGGCTAATTTTTGTATTTTTTGTAGAGACAGTTTTGCCACATTGCCCAGGCTGGTCTCAAACTCCTGGGCTCTAGCAATCCTCCTGTCTCAGCCTCCCAAAGTGCTGGGATTACAAGCATGAACCATAGCGCCTGGCCCCTGGGCCTCAGAATTCTAAGAGTATTCATATGAACAGCAAATGTGTTTCTTGTCCTAAATGTCTTTCTGATTTGGCCTAAGAATCAAAGAAAATGGAACATATAAAAGTGTCTTTATGAACTATAACGCAGTGGTCCCCAACCTTTTTAGCACCAAGGACCAGTTTCGTGGAAGACAATTTTTTTCCACGACGGGGGGAGGAGGGGCAAGGATGGTTTTGGGATGAAACTGTTCCACCCCAGATCATCAGGCATTAGTTAGATTCTCATAAGGAGCACACAACCTAGATCCCTCCCATGTGGAGTTCACAACAGGGTTCGCGCTCCTATGGGAATGTGATGCCACTGCTGATCTGAGAGGAGGCGGAGCTCAGGCAGTAGTGCTCACCTCCTGCCGTGCAGCCCTGGGGCCAGGGGTCTGCTATACAGCAGTCTACGATATATTTTAGTGGCAATGCCAAATTATGTAGTGAGAAGGACCCTAGGGCCCCTGTAATAATAAAATTATGCTAATAGAAAGTATACAGCAAAGGAATAGACAAATGAATGGAACAGAGCATTGAATCCAAAAAACATTTCCCATGTTTCTATGGGAAATTAGTATTAAGATATCACTAACTACTTGGAAAAAAACTTCACATCATATATAATGATAAACTTTAGATAGACAATACATTTATACACAAAGCACAAAACTCTAAAGGTACAGGAAATTACTACCTTTTAAAAAAATATTAGGTTTGAAGGACCTTCCTACGCATGATATAAAACACAATTAATAAAAAAAATTCAGTTCCATGAACACTAAACTTTTGTATCAAACAAAAGGCACTACAACCCAAGTTAAATTCAGACTAGGATAAAATATCTTTGATATAATTTGTAGAGAAGGGGGTTAGTTACAGAAAGTAACCCAGGCCGGGTGCGGTGGCTCATATCTGTAATTCCAGCACTTTGGGGGGTTGAGGTGGGTGGACAGCTTGAGGTCAGGAGTTTGAGATCAGCCTGGCCAACATGGCAAAACCCTGTCTCTACTAAAATACAAAAAATTAGCTGGACATGGTGGCGGTGCCTGTAATCCCAGCTACTCGGCAGGAGAATCACTTGAACTTGAGAGGCAGAGGTTGCAGTGAGCCAGGACTGCACCACTGCACTCCTGCCTGGGCCACAGCAAGATTCCATCTCAAAACAACAACAACAACAACAGTAACCCAATAGAATGTTTTGACATGAAGACAGCCAACAACTCATAAAACGATCCTCCCGCCTCAGCCTCCCGAGTAGCTGGGAATACAGCTGTGTAGCACCATGCCTGGCTAATTCTTATAGAGATGAGGTTTCACCATGTTGCCCAGGCTGGTCTCAAACTTCTGGGTTCAAGCAATCTGCCTACCTCAGCCTCCCAAAGTGCTGGGATTACAGGTGTGAGCCACCACATTTGGCCCTGGAAAGCACTCTTCACTGGTTTACCACCTCCCGATATTTTCCCCTCTTCCTCAAAATAGAAACATTCTGTGGTCAAATATATCATGATAATATTTAAATAAAAAGTATAGCATGCAGTAGATACTAAAGCAGTGTCTTTACTATGTCTGGTTGTACATACCATCAGACCTATGGAAATCTTCTATAGGATTTTTTTGGTTTAATTCATTATAACCAAGATAAACAGCACTGTTACCAGGGTCCATTTATCAAATCATGGACCATGTGTTCTTCACTAGCATTTGACATCATATTTGAAGCACTAGGAATCTGCCTCCCCACCTAGGCAACTCCATTGGCAGAATCTGTCTGATGTAATTATCTTGGAAATCTGGAGTCTACCGAAGGCTTGCAACTTCCAGGAGAAGGCTTGGACTGTCAATAACAGTTAATTTTAGTCTATTTCAGATCTTAGCACATCCCCCATTCCTGGCCCTGTGGCAGGCAGTTGTGCACTTATTTCTGGAGCAGTTTGCACACAGCTTACAAGAAGCAGGTGGGCAAAAAGAACCCTGTCCTCCAATTACTGGGAATCTGTGCTCTGATTACTCATAGCTGGTTCTGATCACAGAAGAGCAGAGAAAGAGGTGGGTAGTCATTCTTACATTTTTCCCTATTGTTACAAACTGGTTCTCCTCTGGCTGAAGTAACTGCTAGGGGACTGAAAGGGCCAGTGCTCTTTTTTTCCTTCCCTCATTTTTCTTTTTTCCCTTCTTCAGAGCCAGATATTAAAGACTTGTGTATTCAAAACCAACCACATATACTGGGGAAATCAGAAAGCTATTATGCTTAGCCAGAAAAAAATACAGGCTTAGAAAAGGTCTGAGACCTTAGGTTTACATCTCAGGGTGGTCCTCAGCACAGAGACAGTCTACAACCATCAAAAAACAAACAAATTAGCTAGGTGTGCTGGCATGCACCTGTAGTTCCAGCTACTCAGGAGGCTGAGGCAGGAGGATCACTTGAGCCCAGGAGTTAGAGGCTGCAATGAGTCATGATTATTCCACTGCACTCCAGCCTGGGTGACAGAGTGAGACCCTGTCTCAAAAACAAAAAGAAACAAAAACAACCCCCAGCAAATCCTGAGGAAAGGGGAAAATCTTATTTTCAGAGTTACCATATTATTAGATTCAAATATCCAATTTTCAACAAAAAAAAAATAAAAAAAAACATACACAGAAACAGGAAGGCATGGTCCATTCAAAGGAAAAAAAAATCAACAGAAATTGTATCTGAAAAAGACCTGATGGCAAATCTACTAGACAAAGATTTTGAAACAACTGTCTTAAGGATGCTTGAAGAACTAAAGAAAGACACGGAGAAAGTCAAGAAAACAACGTGTGAACAAAATGGAAATATCAATAAGAGACAGAAAACCTAACAAGAACCAAAAAAAATGGAACTGAAAAGTACAATCACTAAAATAAAAAATTCACTAGAGGAATTCAAAAGCAGATCTGAGCAGGCAGAAGAAAAAACACAGCAAACTTGAAGACAGGACAATGGAAAGTATTGAGTCTGAGGTACAGGAAAAAAAGGAATAAAGAAAAGTAAACAGAGAGTAAAGGGCCTGTGGGGCCATCAAGCAGACCTGCATGCACACTGTGGGAGTTCCAGAAGGAGAAGAGAGTAAGAGGCAGAGAGAATACTTAAAAAGAAAAAAAAAAAAAAAAGGCTGCAGACTCCCCAAAAGTCGTAAGAGACATGAACATACAACATCCCAGAAGTTCAACAAACTCGAAGTAGGATGAACTCAGAGACCCACAATGAGACACATTATAATCAAACTGTCAAAAGACAAAGACAGAGAATCTTGAGATTCTCAAAAAAATTATCAGAACACTTCTCACCAGAAACACTGGAGGCTGGAAGTACTTTAGTACTTTAAAGTACTTCTTTTAAAATACTACAAGAACTGTCAACTAAAACCCCGTCTCTACTAAAAAAAAATACAAAAAACTAGCCGGGCGAGGTGGCGGGCGCCTGTAGTCCCAGCTACTCGGGAGGCTGAGGCAGGAGAATGGCGTAAACCCGGGAGGCGGAGCTTGCAGTGAGCTGAGATCCAGCCACTATGCTCCAGCCTGGGGTACAGAGCGAGACTCCATCTCAAAAAAAAAAAAAAGAATCTTGTATCTGACAAAACTGTCCTTCAAAAATGAGGGAGAAATTAAGACATTCTCAAATAAAAGCTAAGGGAGTTTGTTACCACCAGACCTGCCTTGCAAGAAATGCTAAAGGGAGTCCTGTAGGTTGAAATGAAAGGATGCCACACAGGAACTTGAAGCCATATGAAGAAATAAATATCTTAATAAAGGCAAACACATGGACAATTATAAAAGCTAGTATTTTTGTAAGAAGTCTATAACTCCACTTTTTGTTTTCTGCATTATTTAGGAGACCAATACTTTCTTTTTCTAACATTGGTTTGTAACTCCACATTTTGTTTTTTACGTAATTTAAGATATTAATGCATTTAAAAAAGTATTAGTTTATGTGTTTGAACACACAATGTATAAAGATGTAATTCTGTAACATCAACAACTGAAAGGAGTGGAGACGGAGACTGAAAGGAGCAGAGTTATTGCATGATATTGAAGTTAAGCTCATATAAATCCAAATCAATGTTATAACTTTAGAACTTAAGTGTAACACAACAATGTGAATGTACTTAATACCACTGAACTGTACACTTAAAAAAGACACAGCTGGGCACAGTGGCTCAAGCCTGTAATCCCAGCACTTTGGGAGGCCGACGCAGGTGGTTCACTTGGGGCTAGGAGTTTGAGACCAGCCTGTCCAACATAGCGAAACCCTGTCTCTAGTTTAAAAAAAAAAAAAAAATTAGCCTGATGTGGTGGCAGGTGCCTGTAATCCTAGCTACTCGGGTGGCTGAGGCACGAGAGAATCTCTTGAACCCGGGAGGCAGAGGCTGCAGTGAGCTGAGATTGAGCCACTCCACTCCAGCCTGCGTGACAGAGTGAGATTCTGTCTCAAAAACAAACAAACAAAAAGTCAAGATGCTAAATTTTATGTTATGTGCATTTTACCACAATAAATTGGAAAAAATAAAATGATTAACCTGGATCAATCTGATTACTTCCACTGCACTAGGCTGTAAGGCCTGGGAAAGGCAGGAAAGAAAGATACTGAGAAGAGGGTAACACAGAAATGATGCCATTGGTGGAGTACAATAAAGCAGATCTAGAAATGGTGTCACACACTTAACACAGGGAGAGCACACAGCATTACCTGGCTTCTACTCCAGGCCTCGTGGGTGGCTTTCCTGGTGGTGGCCGAGGAAAGAACTGAGATGAAGTTGAGCTATTGACTTGATCTGTGTTGACCCATGAAACTGGCCTTGGAATTTTGCTCTTTCTAGACTGGGAGATGATGGGTGACAGAAAGCTATCTTCAGCTGACCTACTCAGGTGAGAATCTACTGTCAGTCTTGAAAAGGGAGTGAGCACTTCCTCCTCACAAAAGGTAGCAGGAACAGTAGCTAGTTTCTCCTCTAGCAATTTATCAGAGGCACTTGAGAGGTCGCCAAGGAAGGACTTGAATTGTCTTTTTTCCACCAGAAGCTTGACTAGGTCTGGCTGATAAGCTTTCTTTTGGAGGAGCTTTTCTTTTGCAGAAACCGAAGAGGATGATTCCAAAGTTGAGTCGATCTCTTGTGCCAAAACAGGGATTCGGCTGTGTCTAGTTACAAAGGATGACCTAACCATATCCTTCCGGGTTGGGGCACCATGTTCATTCTCTGAAACACAATGAAATAGTTCTCCATTTCTAGGGGTAATTTTCTCTCTCTTACCCTCTTGGTGCAAAAAAGTAGAGAGGTCTCCTTGATGACCCGGCAAGTCTTCACTCATGATGTCATCATCCTTAGATACCTTATTTTTTTGTATTTCTGCCACCTGGCCTATCTGACCTTCAACATGTGGGTCAATGTCTCTGGGAGAAATTTCTGAAGTTCCAACTGTCAGAAGCTTCATTATCTCATTATTTTTGTCTTGATTTGGCACCACACTAAAAGTCTGTGTTTTTGTCACATGAAGAGGTTCAGTAGTAGCTGAGTGATCCTTTTCCACAATTACCAAATCTCCTGGGAGAGAGGAGATCTCCATACAATGCTGCCCTCTACTTAATTTCTCATCTTCATTATCTGACTCTAAAAGGATGCTTTTCTCTTCAGTTTCCCCAGGGAGATTTTCAAATTCTCTCACAACTAGTCTGTTATGATCAGGAAGTTCTTTTGGTCCCAGGTCTTGAGATTTGTTACTTTCTCTAATGTTGGGTAACACGTCATGACCAATGTGATCTATCTGAAGCCCCAAATCTGTTCTGCTTCCTCCACTAGGAGGTTCACCCTCTGTCACAGCCAAGCCAGAGAAGTTTTCCCTTGGAGAGTAAAGTTCCACAGTGGGCTCCATGGGCTGAAGATCTTTCTTCTCTGGCTGCTGACCATAATGAAAGCTTCCTGAAGTTGACTGTGTAGATGCCACAGAAGGTCTAGGAATTGTAATCTGGAGAAGGGGGAGAAAAAATTAAAATGCAATTATGTAAAATATCAATACAGATGCATGCTGTGAGATTTAACATCTCAAATTCTAATTTATAGGAAGAACACAGATGTTGACCAGGTCTGCGCAACTTATATGAAAAATGAACAATTCTGAATAACAATGAATGACACTTAAGCTACCCTACTCAGAAACTGCAGAACAGTCTCTCCTGGTAGGTTTATCCCTGCCCCTTCTTTGGTGTGCTGTATGCTCTGGAAGGCTAATTTATACAGATTGCACCATCTGGGCTTCCTTGCTTTCTGATTTGTGGTTAGATCTGCTCAATGGATGGCACCAACAGACAATCAGAGGGTTAGAGGAAAGAGAGGGCTGGGTAATGATTATCCTTGCTTCCCCGCTGAGGACTGTGGCGCTGGTGACGGCTACATTCCACTATCCTGGCCACAGCTCCCTTCTTGTGGCCTCTCTCTCAGCTACTACCCTCATCAAGTTCTGTTTACACCCACTTCAACTCCCCTTTCAGGACTCATGGTAGGAATGGCTCCCTCTGTTGCTGGTCCCATTGGCTTTCTTAACTCTGCCCATACATCTGTAAAAAATTCCTTACATTAAATTCTCTCCAAGTCCCTTTGAGTATGCCATCTATTTCTTGCCAGAATCTAGATACAGGATTACAGGAAAAAATTACTGGCACATAATTGTTCACTGAAAAACTCCAAATTTTCATGCATTTTGTTGTTTTCCATAAATTCTATTAAATACTAGGATTATTATATCTTCCTATAAGTAAAGACATACAAAGATATTTAGTAATGTTTTATGATTTCTCTAATTTTTTCCTTTTTTTTTTTTTGAGACAGGGTCACCGTGTCACCCAGGCTGAAGTATAGTGGTGCGATCTTGGCTTACTGCAACCTCTGCTTTCCAGGCTCAAGTGATCCTCCCACCTCAGCCTCCTGAGTAGCTGGGACTACAGCATGCACCACACACCTGGCTGATTTTTGCATTTTTTGTAGAGATGGGGTGTCACCATGTTGCCCAGGCTGGTCTCGAACTCCTGAGCTCAAGTGATCCATCTGCCTTGGCCTCCCAAAGTGCTTGGATTACAGGTGTAAGCCACCACACCTGGCCAATTTTTTTTTGCGGGGGGGGGTGTTGTCTTGCTGTGTCACCCAGGCTGGAGAGCAATAATGCAATCTTGGCTCGCTGCAACCTCCGCCCCCTGGGTTTAAGTGATTCTCCCTGCCTCAGCCTCCAGAGTAGTTGGGACTACAGGTGCCCGCCACCACACCCAGTTAATTTCTGTACTTTTAGTAGAGATGGGATTTCACCATGTTGGTCAGGCTGGTCTCGAACTTCTGGCATCAGGTGATCCGCCCGCCTTGGCCTCCCAAAGTGCTGGGATTACAGGGGTGAGCCACTGTGCACAGCCCACACCTGGCCAATTTTTAAAGATCAAGCGGGCTGGGCGTGGTGGCTCACGCCTGTAATCCCAGAACTTTGGGAAGCCAAGGCAGGCAGATCACCTGAGGTTGGGAGTTCAAGACCAGCCTGGCCAACATGGAGAAACCCCGTCTCTACTGAAAATACAAAATTAGCCGGGCATGGTGATACATGCCTGTAATCCCAGCTACTCAGGAAGCTGAGGCAGGAGAATCACTTGAACTTGGGAGGCGGAGGTTGTGGTGAGCTGAGATTGCACCACTGCACTCCAGCCTGGGCAATAAGAACAAAGCTCCATCTCAAAAAAAAAAAAAAAAAAAAAATCAAGCCTATGAGAAGTGAAACTCTACCCCTCTTCCACTGAGGTAATTTTAATTCTATATGAGTAAGATTCAACATCTAATAAGAATGTCCTTCCTTAAGATACCTAAAGTTTTTATATTTTCATATCACCTAAAGTGACATGTAAGCAGGCTGAAAATAACTATATAAACTGATAAAGAAAAAAAGTCTTTTTGAGAAATCAAGTAAGTTCAAATCACTTAATGAGACCCATTAAGTTCTAGGAAAACTATAGAAATTGGTCTGAATACAATGCAAAATGAATTTGGATTAGTCATGGGAGATTTAGAGTCAATCTCTAGTCCAAAGACACCAAGAAACCATGTGGTTCCAGGGTCAGCTAAGATGTTTATATCTATTTCACTTCGTGTCAGGAATACTATTAGTTGGACATGGATATGTAAAGCTCATGGACATGCAAAGCTTGTCCTAAGTCCAGCCCAGGAAAAATACACCTAACTAATGTCCTGGAATAGCTCCCAAATGCAACCAGGGTCCTGAGGATCTTTCAGGCTAATCCAAGACAGGCAATTTGGGTTTAGATCTAAACTCTTAGCATAAGCGCAAATCTAAAATTACCTTGGGGAAAAAGCATTAGGTTCTATTGGTGCTGTTTTCCTTCAGGAAGTTATCTCATACTTCTGTTTTAATTATTCTAAAATAAATTTAGACAGATGGCAATTTTCTAGTATATTTTGAAAGTGATTTTGAAATCTAAAATTTATAGTAATTCACTTTTCAAAATTTACTTTAGTAAATGGACCCAAAAGTGACCATAAGAAAAGCAAATGTAAAATTATATTAAATGTCAAATAACAGGGAGATGATAACCTATATCCAAAATCGGGCCAGGTGTGGTGGGTCACAACTATAATCGCAGCACTTTGGGAGGCCAAGGCAGGCTGATCACCTGAGGTCAGGAAAGTGAGACCAGACTGGCCAACATGGTGAGACCCTGTCGCTACTAAAAATACAAAAATTAGCCAGGCGTGGTGGTCAAAAAAAAAAAAAAACCAAACAAAAAACAAAAAAACAGTCACCTCATTATTACATGTAATTCTAACTACATCAGCCAAAATGAACAGGGCAGTGCAATAAAAATAATACTTTAGGCCGGGCACGGTGGCTCATGCCTGTAATCCCAGCACTTTGAGAGGCTGAGGTAGGTGGATCATCTGAGGTCAGGAGTTCGAGACCAGCCTGGTCAACATGGTGAAATCCTGTCTCTACTGAAAATACAAAAATTAGCTGGGCGTAATGGCGGGCACCTGTAATCCCAACTACTCCGGAGGCTGAGGCAGGAGAGTGGCTTGAACCCGGGAGGTGGAGACTGCAGTGAGCCGAGATCGTGCAACTGCACTCCAGCCTGAACAACAGAGCGACACTCTGTCTCAAAACAAAACAAACCAACAAAAACTCCATTGGTCTTCTGAGATTGAAGCTAGGGTTGAATTTCTACAGTTCTGAGATTAACTCATTTGAGATTCAGGATATAAATGTGTATATATGTATGGTATAAAAAAAAGAGTGACAATCTTATACATAGAAAATATATATGAGCCAAGCAAGCATGGTGGCCTGTGCCTATAATTCCAGCTACTCAAGAGGCTGAGGCAGGAAGATTGCTTGAGCCCAGGAGTTTAAGACCAGCCTGGGCAACATAGCAAGACCCCGACTCAAAACAAAACAAAACAAAACAAAAACAAAAACAGAAAAAAAACCCAACAATAAAAATATATATGAATCACCAGACAGGAGAATTTTTCTTGAAAAGATTCTGAGCAATTATGATAAACTGTGCATAAACTACTCTCATATAATATTTTCATAGTACTTTAAATTTCATAAGATATTGCCTAGATCATTTTTACAAACCCCATTTCATAGCTCCTTTGTATTTTAATTGGGTACTATTATAATTTGATTATTATTATTCTTATTTTTTTAGAGACAGAGTCTTGCTCTGTCACCCAAGCTAGAGTGCAGTGGTGCAATCATAGGTCACTGCAGCCTCCAACTCCTAGGCTCAAGCAATCCCTCCACCTCAGACTCCCAAGTAGCTGAGACTACAGGCATGCGGCACCACACCAGCTAATTAAAAAAATTTTTTTTTTGCCCAGACAGGGTCTCACTATGTTGCCCAGGCTGGTCTTGAACTCCTGGGCTCAAGAGATCTTCCTGACTAGGCCTCCCAAAGTGCTGGGATTACAGATATGAGCCAAGTGTGCCCAGTCAGAGTACTATTACTAATGCAAATTCACAAATGAGGACAAACACAATCAAGAAGTCATAAATAGGACTTCAGGATTTTGAAAGTTGTACACAGCACAGTACAGCCTACTGACATGTTCTACACACTCTCAAATAAAGTTGGGGAAACTGAGTCTGCAATAACATTATCTGACAAAAGAAAAGGAGAAAACCTAGGATCAGTAGTTGAGTACAGAGAAGAGAAAGCTAATTCTAAATGTAGCTGCAAATAGCTTCCTTAAACTATAAAGACATAAAAGCAATTCTCATACTTGGGGCGCTCTACAAATGGACCAAATAAATAATCTGCCAGTAAGCCATATGCATCTTTTATATCTTTAATTTTCATAATTCACAAATATTTCATTACAGCATTAATCAGATCATTTCCTTTATTCTGTTCTGTAATTGTATCATGTACATCTTTCTAAAGAATTAGAAAAGGATCTCAATATCTTCCATTTCTTTCACAGTTTCTTAGTTCTATTAATGCCTAGTACTAAGTTTGACCAAAATTAGTGTCTTAATTAATAGTTCAGGTAAAGCAGCTTCACTATTTTTCAGTCACCCCATGTTTCAAACTAGCCACTAGTGAGAAACAATGAACTGCAGACCAACTACCATTTGCATTTTAACTTATAAATTATCCTTTTACTTTTCTCTCATTCAAGGATTGTAATGTTACTAAGATAATAAAAACTTTGTAAAATTTAACATCCATTCCGAATAGCCTTTCTTCCAAATGAAAAGAATGTGGTATATGAAATTTCTATGTCTCATTTTTGTTTGTTGACAAAGACAAATAATTGAGCAGAGATATACATAGTAGAATAATCTATTGGTACCTAATACAGCCTGGCCTATTAAGGAGTTAAGTTTTAGCCATTCAAATTCCACCATAGACCTCTCTTGTCTAAAGCAGCTTCATATAATACTTTATAGAAGTGTTGAAAATTATAGGCCGG